GTCATATTTTTGGACTGGGAAGAAACTGGGGTACCTGGAGAAAACACATGCATGCACAGGGAGAACATGCAAACTCCATGCAGAAAGACCAGGGCTGGGAATCAAACCCAGAACCTTCTTGCTGCAAGGCAACAGCTCTACCAACTGCGCCACTGTGCAGCCCTACCTTATTATTATTATTATTTTTTATTTCAGTGATCACATTTTAAATCGCAGCCTCAGTTACGGATGAACAAAATTAAATTTCAGCCACTTCACTTTTGGTGCTTTGAAACTTTCTCATATACCTTTAGTCAGATTTCATCCTGCTTTTATTTAAGGCTTAACATTACCCAACTAAAATTACAATGACTGAATAAAAATAAATAAATGAACTTCACTTGATACCTTCAGTAGATGCTCCAATGTAGTGGATATGCTAGACTTAAAAAATCAAGAAAACTCTTCTGGATCGAAAGCAAGTTGTCATGGCAACACAAACATCTTCAGGATGTCTTATTCTGCCACAGATAAAACCACCATCTGTGTGTTTTTAACTCTCAAAAACTTTTTGCCATCATTAGAGCACAGCTTTTAATAATTTGATGACTTTAAAAACTACTTCTTTTCAAATCTATTTATTTGGATTTGAACAGCATTAAAATCCTGAGACCAACTCAAATTAGAAAATAAAAAAATTAACTCAACAATGCACTGAGTAAATAAAAGTAGGGTTAACCGATTAGCTCCTGTGTTTCAGTATTCCCAATCCTGCATTGCTTTGGTGTGGAGTGCATTAGATCTTTTGTACATATTTCCCCATAAATTCGAATAACCATCCATGTATTTTAGTGGCTGAAAAGAAGAGCTGTCTAAAAAGCACCACCTTAAATAAAAAGGTGTGTCAGCGTAGCTTCATAAAAATCAACGGTTGATCACACTGTCCTAAATTAAAGTTCAACATTTCTAAAAATCAGCCGGATCACAAGAACAAGCCCAAGGGAAAAAAAGCTCCAACGACACACCGTGGCATCGTCTCTGCTGACTTCAAGAAAACACTAAAGTTTAGTCAGCGACGACAGAAGCCGTGTTTGTGTGTCTTGCAGCGACTTTGGGCCTGAAAGCTGGGACGCAGGTCACCTCGTGACGCGTATCAGAGCTGACTGACTGACAGACGCTGACGGCTGGACCTCGTGCAAACATGCATGTTGGAGACAGCGTCAGTCAACAGCGCAGATTAGCGCCGAGGCTATTAGTCAAGTCAGACATCCTTCATCTCCTCTTCAGCAGAACTTGAACACAACGGAACTTTAATTGAAGAGTCGACAACGTGAAATGACCCGCAGCCAGCCGAGCAGCAGCCGAGAATAGCGAGCCACATTAAGATCCTAGACACCAGAGAGGGTATGTTGCGTGCAGGAAGGATCGACAGACGTGTGAAGGTGAAACAAGAAAGTTCTTTCATTGAGATTTGTAACTCGCATAGAGATTTATGTCTAATTGAAATCAAAATATGTTCTTGTTTAAAAGAGAGAAGCTGCAGCACGTTGTGGGAGGTTTAGGTGTCGTCCAGAGGAAATGGTGAGAGAATGCCATAAAGGGTTTTTATATCGTTAAAACAAGAAATGCTCTCGTTCTGAGCTTTGTATTTATAAACGAGAAAGTTTCTGATTGTAACGAGATGCTGCACCTGAAATTATCTCCTAAATCTGGAAGTTAAATGTTTCCTTAAAGCGTAACTGAGGCCGTTTCCAAAAGCAATCTTCCTCGCCGTCTAACAGGATTCTTAATTTGGGCACCTTAGAAAAACTAGGTTAAACATATCTTAACACCAGTAGCGCAACATTCCTCTCTTCTGGTCAACTGGTTGGACTTTTGGGGCACAAGTCGAATTCAAATTCAGAAATACTTTATTGATCCAAGAGGGAAAATAAATGTTGCTGTAACTCCTTAATTCAAAGCCTTCAAAGAGCAGACAGTGGCAGGAAAGATTTCTTGTAGCTGCCTGTACCACAGTGAATTTGAAGAAGCCTCTGACTGAAGAGACTCTTCCTTCCCAAGACATGAAGAAGAAGGTCAGGGTTGTCCACTCCAGCCAGTGGAGTGGGCAGGAGCGGCTCTGTTCTGTGTCTGCGTGTCGAATCGTCTCTAGTGTTTCTCGGAGGATGTGCAAACGGTTCAGAACGGTAGTTCAGTTTAGGCTTCACTTCTTCCACCGTCTACATAATAATGTTAAAGTTTGCAGCAAAGGAGGTCTTGCTAACAACGACAACAGTGCAGCTAAGATTATTTTCTTGGATTATTTTTTTTTATAGCTCATAAAAATATTTTGGGGATTTTTCGAGTTAGAGTTTCACTTCATTGAACAATCTGATTTCTTTTTTATGTTTCACAATTTTTTTCCTTTCAACAAGTGAAGTACAATCAACTGGTGAAGGACGAGCTGCAATTTATGTGTTTTACATCGTCTATGTCTGTCAACCTTCTCTCTGCCCAATTGATAGTACATAGTGATGGTAAAATAAAATATGAATGTAGAATTAGTTTCACATTGTTGGAAATTAATGCATCTCAGAATGTAAATATGATAAATGGACTGAAGTTAAGCAAAGCTTTTCTTAGGAATGCTGAAAACTCAAAGCAATTCACTGTGGAGACACATTCACCCAATAACGTTCACACGCTTATGGGACCAACATGGAGCAAAAAGTTGCAACTTTTGGATTTTCACTTTTTTTGTTAACAACCAACAACCTTTTGGTTTGTTTTTTTTGCCCAGTTTCTGGGATGAAACCAAATACCTCAGCTTAACACGGTGATTGCAAGAAAAATAATTTAATCTCTCATCCCACCTTGCTCTCACCCCATTGCTATGGTTACATAAAATTCACAGCATTTCAATGTTTCAATGCATTGAGCAGCAACAAATCAAGCCTAACTGACCCCTACATTTTTTGCTCATGTTTTGGCACTTTGCTTGGATTCCATTTCACTACTCGCCCTCATAACTTAGTCTTACCTCAATGTTTCGTGATTGTACTCAGGAGTGGAGGCGTCTCAACTCTTAATTTTCAAAGCACATTTCAAAACAAACAGCTACAGTACGAGCCCGAAACCAGAGCAGCTCAGTCCATGATTCTCTCTTGTCAGAGTTTTTCCACTGGAAAGGCATTTGTCATAACTTTTGCAATGGTGCGTTATGGGATACTTTTTAGTTTCCCTAAAAATACTAGTGAAACCATCAAGTTTTGTGATTCCACTTTATTAAATGTTCTCCCTTAATAAGCGTAACAATATATCTGTACTGCCAACATGAAAATAACTCGTTCTACAACATATTGAAACTGGGGAAAGAAAAAAAAACCTCAGCCAAAGCAGGTCACCTTTTTATTCTGAATGGACTGTGAATAAGTTATCTTTGTTAATATCAATTTCTCCCGTATTCAAATGGATCACCAACATTATGTTTTTCAGCTTTGTTTGTGGCGAGAGTCATCATTATGTTGTATGAAATGACAAAGGTGCAGAAAGCTGGGAATTGTTAGTGAGACAACTCTGGAACGAAGAGAAACCATGGGTCAGCCACAGAGAATCCAGCAAGTAATGACAGAAAAAGTACTTAAATACTGAGGAGTGATCACTGACATGCTTCACAATGACAGCCAATGAGGGGAGCAGCGCTGAGAGAATGAGGGAAGCTGAAAAACCTGCAAGGAAAAAGGTCTGCTACACAAACCAGAGTCTAAATAGGCATACAGGACATAATGGGAAGCACAAGATTTAATAAGATTTAACAGAGATTGGCTGTTACAACTGAATGCATCATAAAGAGCTACTGGTGCATTCACTTTGAACTCTTATGTAGGATTTTCTGAATTCAAGGTAGGCATTACAGCAATAATACCTCCTTAAGATGAAAGTCTGGAAGATGGACCTGGCCGTACATCCATTAGTTAAGTATTCAACTCGACAGCCACATATGAAATATAGTGGAGGCTGCAAGTTAGAAGTATATATATGAGCACTTACTGAGCATGCATCACATTAAACTACAGGTCAGTGTTGTGCATAAACACAAAAAGTACAGATGACGTTTTCAAGATTTTTGAACTGAGCAGTGATCCATTTTTACACGACAAACTTGAAAGTGAGCGCAGTTCATCCTGTTACGGCGTAACAGGATGACAACTGGTGGACGTAACAATCCCGACATCTTTGATTTTTGCTCCATGTGAGCAAAAACATGCTGCCGTCGTCGGTGTGCGACGTCTCAGGCAAAATATCTTGTTTAAAATATTTGCAGGATTTTTTTTAAAGATGGACACCCACCTCATGTGTAGCGCTTTAAAAGTGACCACAGTTACGAAGGCGGCCCAATGCGATCGCTTTTCAGCTGCAGTTTCAACTGATCAATGTTCTGATGATGGGTGGATGACAGCCGCTGTTTTTGAAGTCTCATCATTACAATACAGTTTATCTTAGCAAAGGCAACGGGATTTAAATCTGTCAAAGATTAAAATTGATTTAAAACGAGCTTTTTGTTATGGGTGAACTAGAACAACATGTGAACATCACCCTTTGCAGCTTGAGCAGAAAACAAGGCTTAAAATACATATTTTTTCAGTTTACATTGCTAAAAGATGCTAGTATGAAGAAATAATATTAGAATTCTGCAAGTCACTGTTTCGCTGTAACGTGTTTCAAGCTGAAATCGAGTTTGCTAGCACATGCTACTGATTAGGAAATAACACTCTGTTCAACATTTTCTACCTCATTCGCCACTTTATGTATAGGAGAACATATAAAAAAAAACAACAACAATATAACTGCCTAAATGAATTATATTTCAATATCGTGCTAGGGGCATCTGATATCTGAGATGCGGAGTGCAGAGCGGAGGTCACACTTCGCATCAGCTGCAGTTTATAGGACCTGCATGGTGTGTTTTTCGGGGTAACGTCCCTCTCCGACTGTCACGGCGCGTTAAAATCTTTGTTTGGCTCTCGCCGTTTAAAACTTACCGCTAGATTAAACGGAATGAACGCGGCGTCGTAAAGTCATGCCGGTGACTGTGGAGCACCCGGGTCTTTGTTTGTGTTGGAGCGACGGGACATGCGTGACCTCTGTGGGGGGGTTAGTGGGTTTGGGTTTAGCAGGAGCGAGAGAAAAAAAAACCCCGCTGATGTTTTGAGAGCGTCAGAAAGTGGCCGGGCGGATGATGTCATTAAACACAAAACAACCAGCAGGAGCGTCTCGGCTTTCAGTGAAAACACGGACAAATCTGGGAACACGAGCTACCAACACCAAACCTGTGAATCGGACGGACGGACGCGGCCCGCAGAAACAATACAGTTGAGCGTGAAAGTGCACATGTGACTTCCATTGTGCCAAACGGTTCAGTTTTACAGATCCTGTCTTTGCTTGTGAACCTACAGCTGGTCCTTGGGAGTATTTCTGCAGAATGAAATCACCCATTTTATGTATTTATAGGTCAAACTCCTGTGACACTAGTAAAAGCAACCTCTGTGTGTGGAGCTTTTTTTTTTTTTTTACTGTGTAACCTGATGATTGGCTGGAGAAGCCAACAACTGGGTTCAGATTTTTTTTAACAACTTAATATGAGAAAGGAAATGCTGTGAGAAGGAGGCTGAGCTGTGCAGCCTGGACAGGAAGAGAGAGAAAAACAACTTATCTGATATTTCTAGACAATCACATACAGAAGTGTGCAGAAGAAGAGTTTAATGATTAAAGTCTTTCTGTCCACATTTTAGTGCAGAGTGAAAAATCTCATTGTAGAAGGAGAGAAAAAAAAGTTTTAGAAGTGATTGTGAAGTTTGGTGGCTCAGAAAGGTATTGATACACTTGGAGTTGCTTTTGCTCCAACCTACCTCTAACCCTGGCAAACCTCTGAACATCTTAGGTGGTTTGTATGACACTGCAAAAAAATATGCTTCTCTAAACAAATTTAAAAAATAGATTCCTTCCCCTCCATAAGTGAAACAAATCTGCTAGTAGAACTAGTACTTCACACCAAACTGGGAACCATTTGGTGTGAAGCTGGACCGGTGGACCGGTAAGGCCTGTTGATCGATAAACGCCTGCTGTATTTACTTTAACCAACAGCCTCTTGGCGTTTTGTTGGCCTAGTTAAAGGGGTCTCGTTGGAGCGCACCTCATCATCAGCGGGCGCTGACGAGGGGAGGGAGCCGTGGGCCAGACTTCTTCTTCTTCTGCCAGGAGGGGATCAGACTGCCAGCACCAGCAGCTTCTGAGAGATATACGATCCACTGCTTATTAAACAAAACTACTTGTGATTAAACCTCTCAGATGGGTTTCGCCAGAGGTTCGCTCCTGGCCTCCACCTCCACCTCCCTCTCTCTCTCTCTCTGTTTCTCTCCGTCTGCCTCGTGAGAAGTGATGAGTGAGGAGTAATAGGTTTCATACTGCGCCACAGAAAAAAAAAAATGAGAGTTGGCCTTGAGAACGCGAACTCAGAAAATCTGAGTAAGGCAAACGGGCAATCATCATCATCATCATCATCATGCAGATCTTATCCCACCAATGGCACGGTTTGAAAGATCCTAGGAAAGCGCTCCGAGGGGAAAGCACACCGACCGAAATGATTACAAGGTGGTAGAAAAGCTCAGTCTGGAATTCCAGAAACAATTTGCGTGTGGTTGGAAATACCGGCTCTGGATGTTCAATCACAGACGTCAAAACGTGCGGAGGGAATCTCCAAAATGTCGAGTCGTTATGCAATAAAACTCTGGGAATAAGGATAAAAAACAAACATTGTTTTTAATGTACGTTTTGCTTCTGTTGCGTACGACGGATGGACCGACGTGGATATGACGCGAGCGTACAGCTGTGTCCAGATGCGCGTGAAACAAGGAAGCCAGGTGTGGCGGTAGAGAGCGGTCCGGTCCAGTCCGGTCCGGTCCGGGTATCTGACGCAGGCCTCCGACACCTCTCTGTGTGAGGAGCTAAGTGCTTTCACAGAAACATCTGGCAGCATGGCGACAGGTCTTCTCTTGCCAATTAGTGTTTCCTCACACTCCTCTATACGTTTCCTTACAGAGAGCACACACACACACACACACACACACACACACACACACACACACTATATTCACTCAGACTGTAGATTTGCGCGCGGCTGGCCATGCAGGGAAGTAATGGCATGAAAAGAAACCAATTTAAAAGGGCTAATCTACCCATTTTAAACATGGAGTTTATTTTTACAGTCTCCAGCTGGGCTTGTTTCGAGTGTGTGGAAGTAATCAGGAAACAGAGAGAGAGAATGAGGGAGGGGAAAGAGAGAAACTGTGTTCACAGATTTGAGAGTCACTATAAGCTGTGGGTGAAGTGTAGAAATGCATAAAAAGCCAAATTGAAATGTTCGATCTGCTTGATGCGATCGCCTCCAAATGGATGTTTTGTCTTTGTATGATCAAAAAAGTAATTAAAATGAAAGGAGGGAGACGGCAGCTAAAACAGAATCCTTAGTGAGCGTGTCGATCACTGGTTCTGAAAAGTCTCTTCAAAGTACGAGTGTGTTGGTGAAACGCAAGAAAATACCTGGAGTGTTTTCGTGTGTGTGTCCTCTTGGTTTCATTCATCGGGCCAATTACGTGTTGGTTTGCAACCAACATTTTAATGTACACACAAATAAAGACATACAGCAGAATGAATGTTGGATTGTCTGTCTTTATTTGAGCAGAGAATAAAGATTTTCATATAGATTTAGTAAACACTGATTATCACCATCATGAATGGAGAGAAAAAAAACAACCTCAAAGGGCAGACAGAGTTATGTGTTTTACAGCCACATATTTTACAGCACAATCAAGTGCCTAAGTTAACTTCAGTTGTTGTAAATATAAGTTTTGAATCTTGGAAACTGCAGCTCAGAGCTGCGTCTCGAAGGCGGAGCTAGGTCCAACCAGGCGTTTTCCACAGCTTAACGGTTGCCACGGAGATCGAAGAATTTCTCAAACTTGCATGAAACGATCACGGCAACACTCCAGATCTGCTTTTGGTGAGGGCATAACATTATAACATGATGCAAAGCTCGAAAAAGTCAGTTTTGCATAACACCGCCCCTTTAAAACAACTATTGTGAAATTAGAAGCAGAGAGTTTAGGAAGCAGTAGACTGCAGGTTGGAGGTTTGATCAAATTAGTTCATGTTTTACATTTTGCTCTTAAATCTTTAAGGCCGTACTATGACAGAGTGAAGCTTTAGTGGTTTTACTCAGGATTTTCAGATTGGCATGGTGAACATGCTTGCATAGTTCAAGTTCAACATCATAATTATCCCACCCTGAAAGAAGTCATCATCATGTCACTCGCATCCTTTGTACTCCTGTGGTGGCTCGAAATGAAAACTGTAAATATACAGAATAAGATGAAATGCTGTCCACCAGCAGCAGCAGCAGCAGCACTGCTGAAACATCCATCAGGCGTAGGAATCTGACGGAGCCAGTGGCCTTCCTCCACCCAGAGCATGACTCTGCGCTGCCCTCCTGGTTTGACATGTTGCTCTCCTGATTGATGTTCACCTTCTGGGGAAGGTGGCTCCGCGCTTTCATCAGGTCCTCAGCAGGCGGGCAGGCAGGGAGGCGTTCAGGGGGAGAAGAACGAGCATCAGCCGACTCTGCGCCGAGAGATAAAACAACCGTCCCGTGTCACCGAGCGGCACATAAAACAAGGCTCCGCTTCACAGATCGTACATCAACGTTATACCGTCTGACGCCAGGAAGCAGCGAGGCATGCTGGGTAAGTGACACACCCGGAAAGATGGATTTCTGTAATCTTGATTAGCGAACGCATAAATCTTCAGGGAATACGTTTGAGCACAAGGAGGTTGGTTTGGTTCCAGCTGAGGTGAACCAACAATAATTTGGTTTGATTAGAAGAAGAAAAAAAAACATTTGCAACTTGTACACGTTTCATACTTTTGTCACATTTCAAATTCACAAATTTTATTCATGCGTCACGTAGTAATGAAGTTGGAGGGAAACGATATATTGGTGAGTATCTAAAGTTAAAACACTTAGATATGTTCCCCCAAAATAAAAGCCGATGTGACCGACTGCCTTTGAAAGTCACCGAAAAAAAAAAAAAAAAAAGGATTCTACATGTTCTAAATGTACTGCCACAATGACTCCAGCTGGCCTTTAAATTAAAATTTAATTTAAATTCAAAAATACTTTATTGATCCTAAAGGAAAATTAAATGTAGCTCATATTAATTAAAAAATTCTTCAGAGTTATTGTAGATGGTGATGGCTGTGGTCAAGAGGGATCTCCTGTAGCAGTCTGTATTGCTGCGGGTTTTTGAAGGTTGGTTAGAGAGCATAAGTGAACAAACAGCATCTTAAAGGTCAGGGAGAAAGCTGTGGAGACATTTAAAACAGGTTACCAAAACAAAACTGCAGGTTTGAACAGTTCAATTCTTCAAAACTCTATTTACGAACCAGAAGAGCATGGTTTAGATTAGAGCTTATTCATGCTGTTCTATGTGTTAGAATGGCCCAGTCAAAGCCCAGACCTAAATTCAGTTGAGTATCTGCAGGAGGACAGGAGTCGCTCCCCGTCCAATCTGACCGAGTCTGACCAAGAAAGCAAAGGCAACGATTCAAACCAGATCCAAAAACAAATGTACAAATCATTTTTTTATTATTATTTTCATTTTCATTTGAGCGATTGTGTTTTGGTAAAAATCTTTTACATTCATGTTTATTTTGGATTTCATATAACATCTAGAAATGAACTCAAAGCCAAAAACGTTCGACTGTTTTACCCCTTGGTGGGACTTTTTGCAGGGTTTGTGTGACATCATGTCATCACCTCGGCGAACCTCAGGGACCAGAGAGCAGTGTCCTTCATCACAGCCGTCATCTGGGCGTCAGAACGCATCATCATCGCATCGGCGTCTTCCCCACATGCGGCGCGTGCGTGTCCCTTTAAAAATGCTCAAAACAAAGATTTAAATTCAAGGATTACTACGTCAGGATGAAACTACGACTTTTAACTGAAAATCTACTTACAAAAATGTTGGATGGAAAACAAAGTGATGGTCTTCTTCAAGCTTTCTGGTTTTCTTCTGTTGT